GGAGGGGGGGAGAAGAAGATGAGAGAGAAAATGGGAAAAGGGGGAGGGTGAGAATAAGTAGTACTAAATTCTAACAACAGGAAATACGATAGCAAAAGCGAACTAGATCACATGACGTAATAACGATCTACTTAAGAATATGCAAGAACATGAGTGCTACTAAAGTAACTAATAAGAAAAGTAGAAACTTAAAACCACCTACTAACCTTCTACCCTTACTTCGACCTCCACACCTTCCTATCAAGAGTCATGTCCTCAACAAGCTCAAGCCGCGTCATATCCTGCCTAATCACCTCTCCCAGTACTTCCTTGGTCTACCTCGACCTATTCTCAAACCCGCCACGGTCAACCTCTCACATTTCCTGACAAGAGCATCAATGCTTCTCCTTTCTACGTGCCCGAACCATCTCCGCCTTGACTCCCGCATCTTGTCCTCCATGGAGGTTACTCCCACTTTGTCCCGAATAGCTTCATTCCTAATCTTATATCTCCTAGTATACCCATTCATCCATCTCAACATCCTTATTTCTGTCACTTTCATTTTCTGCACATGTGAGGTCTTGATTGGCCAATATTCCGTCCCATATAGCATAGTTAGTCGGACCACCACTTTGTAAAATTTACCTTTAAGTCTTGGCGGCGCATTCTTATTATACAAGACGCTGGATGCAACCTCTATTTCATCTATCCCGCTCCAATACGATGTGCAACATCCTCGTCAATCTCCCGGTTATCCTGGATAATAGACTCGAGATACTTGAAACTATATTTCTTGGGAATAACTTGAGTATCAAGTTTCACATTCACGTGTGTCTTGTGAGCCCTGTCAATGAATTTGTTCTCTAAGTATTCTATTTTAGTCTGCTCAACTTGAAACCTTTAGACTCAAAGGTCTGTCTCAGAACCTCCAACCTTGCGTTAACCCCTTTTCACGTCTCGTTGATCAATACTATATCATCGGCAAATAGCATGCACCATGGCACTCCCCCTGTATGTGTCGCGTCAGCACGTCCATCGTCAAGGCAAATAAAAACGGACTAAAAGCCGATCCTTGGTGCAGCCCTATCACAACTGGAAAGTGCTCTGATCCCCCTCCCCCTCTCAGAGTCCTCACCCAAGTCTTAGCACCATCGTATATATCCTTATCACCCTAGTGTACGCTGCCGGAATGCCGCTAACCTCCAGACACATCCACAAAACTTCCCTCGACACTTTATCATACGGTTTTTCAAGGTCGATAAACACCATATGCTAGTCCTTTTTCCTTTTCCTATACTGCTCCACTAATATCCTCACCAGATGAATAGGTTCCGTAGTTGAGCGCCCCGGCATGAATCTGAACCGGTTCTCAGAAATAGACACGCTCCTCCTCATCCTGACTTCCACCACCCTCTCTCAGATCTTCATAGTGTGGCTCAACAGCTTTATACCCCTATTATTCTTACAATTCTGGATATTACCCTTGTTCTTATACAACGGAACAATCGTACTCCACCTCCATTCTTCGGGCATCCTTTTCATCTTAAAAATGGCATCAAACAACCCAGTGAGCCAATCCAAGCCTGCGCGACCTGCGTTCTTCTAAATTTCCACTAGGATTTCGTCTGGCCTCGTCGCTCTGCCCCTGCTCATCTTGCGCATAGCCCCTTCCACCTCCTCCACCTTAATACGCCTACAATACCCAAAATCTCGCCGACCCTCGGAGTGTTCCAACTATCCCAGTACAATACTTCTGTCCCCTCCTTCGTTCAACAGTCTACTATAATTCCCTTTTTGAAATAATTTACATATACTTATTAAAGGAAAAAACTTCTTTTATATAATTCCCTTTTTGAAATGAAATACTAGCTTTTTAAGATACACTATTTGTGGTGTCCCATATATGAGCGTGAAATGTAAAGTTGAAAGAATATGTTATACTCCAATGGTCTAAAAATAATAATTGGTCAACTGACCCC